TCTCCTCTTCGTCACCATCATGAGCTCTTGCAGCATCTTCGTTGTCAGAGAGTCCATCATTGTTGTCATGATTTTGGAGTGTACTGTTGTGATCACTAGAATTTCCTTCATTGAGTTCGTCATTTTCCCATGTTGCTTGTGCATGCTGTATGTCACAACTTTCCATAATTTTGGTGTGATTCGTTATGTCGCTGCCTGTGTCTGATTTCATTAAAAATGAATTGAAATTTCTTGATACCTTCTTATCACTCACGTATACCTTCTCTTCTATGCTGTTTTCCACTTTGTCTATCATGTCCTGATATGTGTCTATGTCACTGGTTTCCTTCTCACTGCCTATAAGCTCCTCATACTCTGCTTTGATTTCCGTTTCCAGCACACTGCCCAAAATCTCCTCATACTCCGCCTTGGTCTCTGGCTCCGTTGTGTCCAGCGTGGCATCACTCATCAGCAGAGACTCGCCCCCGTCGCTGTCATGGTGGGACACTATGGATGCTTCGTCTCTATCTCTTAGGTCATGATCGTTTTCTAGCAGATCGCCGATAGTCTCATTGTGACTTTCGTCGATATCTTTATCTGGATCCAGTTCATGGTTTTGCGTCTCTGTACCATCTGTGATTTTTCTATCAGTTGAAGAACAAAATGTATCGTCATAATTGTCTTTATCAATCTCTTCTTCATAAACAGATTCTGGCATATCCTCAATCACAGTTTCTTCATCAATATCCTCTATATCCTTCGTCTCGTCAAGATCTACACCGTCCGTCGTTAAAACTCCTGTGCCTTCCTCTAAACAATTATTACTTCCTTTGTAATTTTGATCTATCTCTCCTACAATCTCTTCACATTCAGTATCTCCTCTGACATCTTCAAAAATTGCAGCATCCTCGCCTTCGTCAGCTATGAGGACAGGCTGCTCTCCAAATTCATCTGCCACTTCATCAATTAAGATTGCGGGGCTTTCTTCGGCCACAGTCATTTCTGCCTCCTCTTCAGCCACATTTGCATCTGTACCTTCCTCATCCACAGTTAAATTCATTTCTTCTTCGTCTACTTCCTCGGTCATAGTTATTTCCTCTTCCTCTTTTTCTCCGCCAGTAAAAACATCTACTTCATCGGCTACAGTTATTTCCTCTTCCTCTTTTTCTCCGGTAATAAAAACATCTACTTCAGTGCCTACACTTATTTCCTCTTCCTCGTTTTCCCCTTTCATAAAAACTTCAGCTACTTCATCGACCATAATTATTTCCTCTTCCTCTTTTCCTCCTTTCATAAAATCATCCGCTACTTCATCGGCCATAGTTATTTCCTCTTCTTCTTTTTCCCCTTTCATAAAATCATCTGCTACTTCATCGGCCATAGTTATTAATTCTTCCTCCTCTTCCACATCCATAAAAACATTTGCTTCTTCATCAGCCATAGAAACGTCTGCTGTGTCTTTCTCCATCACTGAAGCTTCTGCCTCCTGCTCTGTCAGAGTATCTCCGACTTCTTCTTCAGCATCATTTACTTCGGAATCTCTGCCGTTAGTGTTTACTTCAATTCCTCCTTCTTCTCCTTCCTCACTCAAAAGAACATTTGCTATTTCCTCGTCCACTGTCAACTCTGCCTCTTTTTCAGGTGCAAGTACTTCTTTTACTTGTGTCATGTCCTCAACTGCTGAAAGTTCTGTTACTTCCTCCATTATAGTTACCTCAGCTTCTTTTTCTGCTTGTGAAACCTCTCCTTCTTCCCCAGCAAGATTTACCACAGCTTCAGCCACAGTTATATCTTCTTCCGTGTTAGTTATTTCTGTTTCTTCAACCGCAGTTTCTTCTACTTCTTCTTCATCAGCTTTTAATTCCTCCTCAGCTTCATCAACTTTCTCCTCAAGCATAGATACTTCAGCAGCTTCCTCGAACATAGAATCTTCTTCTGCTACACTTATATCTGGTTCTTCCACAGCGGTGTCTGCTCGGTCCTCTGCCGCACTCAAATTTGTTTCGTCTTCGGTTACTTCTTCTATTTCCTCAGTCTTAGTTAGACCTCCTTCAATCACATTTATATCTACCTGTCCATTGGCACTTTCCTCAGTAACATTTATATCTGCTTCTTTCTCAGTCGTTTCTTCAGTTTCTTCCCCTTCTTCAGCTAAAGATATCTCTACCTTTTCTTCAGCCACATTTATGTCCGGCTCTTCCTCAGCTAAGATTAACTCTGGCTTCTCCTCAGCTTCATCCATGCCTTCTTCTTTTTCAAGTATCTCTTCATCTTCTTCAGCTACAGATGTTTCTTGATCATCTTCTGCCACACTTAAGTCTGCTTCCTCCTCAGCCAAGGACAAATCTGCTTTTTCATCAGTCTCGGTTATACGTGATACTTCTTCAATCATAGTTACATCTGCCTTTTCTTCAGTCTCATTTGTATTATCTTCGTACTCATTTACTTTCTCTTTAGTCATATTTATATCTGCTTCTTTCTCAGTCGTTTCTTCAGTTTCTTCCCCTTCTTCAGCTAAAGATATCTCTACCTTTTCTTCAGCCACATTTATGTCCGGCTCTTCCTCAGCTAAGATTAACTCTGGCTTCTCCTCAGTTTCATCCATACCTTCTTCCTTTTCAACTATCTCTTCATCTTCTTCAGCTACAGATGTTTCTTGATCATCTTCTACCACACTTAAGTCTGCTTCCTCCTCAGCCAAGGACAAATCTGCTTTTTCATCAGTCTCGGTTATACGTGATACTTCTTCAATCATAGTTACATCTGCCTTTTCTTCAGTCTCATTTGTATTATCTTCGTACTCATTTACTTTCTCTTTAGTCATATTTATATTTGCTTCTCCCTCAGTAGCACTTGTATCCTGTAGTTCATCAGTTGCATTGCTGGCATTTTCGTCAAAGTCTGTTATATCCCCTTCCTTCTCCTTTGCAATTACTTCTTTAAAATCATCAAGTACGATAACATCCTCTCCCTTAGATATATCGACATTTTCTTCTTCAGGATATTCCTTTGCCATTTCAAACATGGATTCCGTTGCCTCCATTTCATTTGTGGTTTCTGTATCTACTATTAGTAGAGAACTTTCTGCTACATCAGTTACAATATCTTCTTCATCATTCAGAGTCTCATCATCAGGTGCTACCATAATTTCATTTCCGCAAAAACTATTATTTTCTTCATTTTCGATTGCATCTTCTTTGCTCTCCACTTCACTTGTTTCATCTTCATTTTTCAAGAGCAATGCTTCCTCCTTTTCTACTAAAATATTTTTATCTTTCTCTTCCCTGTGCAGTTCCACTACAGACGCATTCCTGTTTTCTTCCTCATGTATCTTCAATTCTGTTGGTGGAGATTGTTCCCCAACCACAGTGTCATCCAGAAGTGGGTTTACATCATCGTCTTGGGCATATTCCAGGTGCTCGTCGTCGTCTTCCTCGATGGTCGAGAGGCCGGAGCTGCTCTCGTCCACAGGTGAACAGTTACCATCATGGGGACTAACATTGCGGAAAATTTCATCCAAGAGACTAGTATCTGCATTAAAGACTTCTGCTGTAAGGTCCTGAGGGCTTAATGGTGGTTCCTGACAGTCATTGCTTTTAGATCCTTCCTCTCCAGACGACTGCAAGGTGTCTGTGGCTTCATTATCAAGATCTGGAGTGTCATTCCTGCTCTCTGATGTGCTGCCTGAAGATACTCTCACTACAGTCACGCGATCCCAGGAATCTGTACCATCGCTTAACTCTTCATTGTCTGCCTCATTTTCTAGTGGTTCACTTTTGTCTAAGATATTTCCTGGGTTTTCCTTGTTAGTTTCTTCCCCATTAACGTCATTCCCATTTTCATTTATGCATTGACTTTCATCTTCTTGAGTATCATTTGATACTTGAAGTTCACTCTCATTTGTAGAAATATTGGTCATGTCCTTATTTGGCACGTCTGTTTCATCGTCAATTTTAACAGGAATTTCATTTGTTTCTGCTTCTGCCATTTCACTTTCTTTCTCTTCTTTTTCTTGGGTATAGGTAGCATATGTCTGCTGAACTGGTTCATTATGTAACTGCAAATTCAAATCTTTTTTAGCTAGTTCTTCATCCGCTTCAACATCGCTCATCTCGCCTCTACTCGTCTGAATGAGTGTAGGAGATATCTCATCGCAGTTGATGCTGAGAGGTTCTGGTAGCAAACTTGGGTCATCACAGTCAATGAATCCACTCTCCAGCAGCACTTCCTTGCCATTGGAAGTATAGCCTATTATTTCATATTGTTCTTGTACTGAAGAACTGTTTGAGTCTTCTTGGATGTCATTGCTACTGCAGTGAATGGCTTCGTCATCTAGTGCCTCACTTACAAGATTCTCACTGACTTCCTCTATACTGTCGCTAGCACTAAGAAGGTCAACAGATTCTTGAATAGAGGCGTTATTTAGATTTTCCACATCTCCAGGAGAAATGTTTTCATTGATGCTGTTTTCAATCGAACCTGATTGGAAAGTATCTGATTCATAATGATCAGAGATTTCTGTGTCAGGATTATTGTCATTTAAAGTGTGTTTTTCCTCACTAATAGGATTGTTAGTATCATCATTTGGAAGATCTGGCGAATTCACTTCACTGTCTGTGTTGGGATCCACATCCTCACCATTTTCATTGGTCACCTGTATCTTGATGTTTTCATTTTGTTCTGTGCTTTCGGGAGCAGTCTCTTTCCCACTGTCATTATGATCATTGTTAAAGTCTGGTTCACTATTGCTAAAATGCTCACCATTCACCCTGTCTACAGTCAATTCAGCTGCACTTTGCTCAGGAGTCTTCTTTGCCTGCATATCTTCCAAGGGCTCAGTAGAAGAGACCGAGTTGGAGTGATCAGAAAATGATGTGTAAGTGTCTGTCATATGCTGCTGAGAATTTTCTGACGTTTCTGGAGCTGCATGGTCATCGTTGCCTTTTGGTGGTTCTTGTGAGGATCTTGGCTGTGATAAATTCTTTGTTGAGGAAAGCTGTACAATGTCAGACTGTGAGGTG